TATTGGGTAACCTGGCTGAGAGCGCGCAAACCCGGCATGACCTGGGCAGATTTCAAGCAAGCTCTGGTGGCCAGATTCGATTCCTAATTTCAGAGGAATCAGTTTGAACGGCTGGCCAGCGCCAAACGGATTGGATCAGTGGACAGATTGGATCAGTGGAGGACTACAATGCCCTATTGGATCAATTAGTCAGCCAAGTTCCAGGATTGTCCGATGATCATTATTTGGGATACTACATGAATGGGCTAAAAGAATCAATCTGAAGCTCACTACGCTTGTTTCGACCGGTAACTGGGAAGAAGCCATGGAATTAGCTCGCGATGTGGAGCACAATCTGTCCGTTCAAAGTGGAGGAAGTGGCAGCCCGAATTATATCATTCAGGGGTACGTTCTAGCAGCTTTTTAATGTCAAACTCGGGACCTCCGTTGACTGCCAGTAGTGGCAACATACAGGCATCGAGTGACAGCTTTCTAAAAGATAGTGCACAACCCCCGGAGACAAAGTCAGAGCTATCCGGGCAACCTACGACACGCTCCCAATTCACTCAACTTCCGCCAAAGGAGTTGGTAGAATTGAGGGCGAAAGGATTATGCTTTAGGTGTAAGAAACCATTTACACCAGGGCATGACTTCCCCTTCAAGCAGTTGCGGGTAATGATAGCTGAGGAGGATGAGGACTGAGGAGTTGGACCTCCAACAGGCCAACGACATGAGTACTGTGAAATAACCGGCTAGGAAAAGGTTCAGGAAGGAGATGAAGGATATTTTACAGTCTATTCTATGCCTGGTTGTCAATGGCACGCAATGGTGCTTGCGCCATGCGCCATGAGGCGCGCAAAAGGCCTTTGCGCCATAAAATGGATTGTGGCACTGGGTGTACATATGGCGTTGCTGTTGTGTCGCCATCGCCATGGCGATGCACAAGCTCTTTTAAAATATCAGCGGACATTTGGTCTGGGATTTTGGGGCTGTTGGGCCTGGTGAACTTAACTTAATAAAACTCTAAATAAAACTTAATATTTTAGCCCATTATGAACACACAAAGCCAATTATTAACAACCCTAACAAAAATAAAAGCATAAAAAGCTGCGGACAGTAGAAGTTAAAGCTGCAACTCTGCGACAAACACTCGAGCGCCAAAAGATGAAACCAGACACAAGTCGCACAACCTGCCAGCCTGGGAACTCATTGACTTCTTCCAACTACAAAAGGTATGACTACCCTCTTTAATGCTTCAGTTTATACTTTATATAGTTTTTTTTACAATAGTTTATTCTTTATACAAAAGAGTATATATGATACTTTCATATAATGAAAGCAATTGTTAAAAAACTTCAGTTCATTTAATACTTCAGTTTGTGTTAAAATGAACTACTTTATACAAACATACAGTTATAAATTAATTTATAGTTTTTACTTTTTACTTTATAGTTTATGTTTATGTTAAAATGAAGTTTTAACTAACTTCAGCTATCTGTATGAAGTTTTAACTAACTTCAGTCTTCAGCTAACTTCATCATTTGAAGTTTTAACTAACTTCAGCATTTGTAGTTTTTACTTAAAAAGAAGTTTTAACTAACTTCAGCTAACTGAACCCTCTTTAACCTCTTTAAATTAACTGAAGTTTTTACTTTTAATTTACAGTTTAAGTACTTACTACTTCAACTTGATACATCAATGAAGTTTTTACTTTTCAACTTGCAATTTTGCAGAAGATGTCTACTGCCTTTGCTAAGGAGCATTGTGAGAAAGTGAATGAAAAAACAACAACGACCTGCGATGCAATGACTGTGAGCAGGTTACTGAAGGTGGAATTACTAGGTTTAAGCAACATTTGGCCAGGAGCCACCGCAACGCAAAAGAGTGTGCACTCTTTCCTGCTGATAAGAAGGCTGAACTGCAAGCATTGGTGTTGAAAGAATCTGCCGCTACTAAGTCAGACAAAAATGTGATTGAACGCACTTTTAAGAGTACATGTGCAGCAGGGCAGCCCGGTGGATCAAGTGCAAATCGGCCGATGGATAGGTTCGTTTATCCAACAGAAAAACGGAAAGAGGCATTGACACAAACAACAATCCCATCACACATGAAGAAAAAAGAGAGGGATGAACATGCTCAAAGCCTCTGTCTGTGGATGTACAGGAACTGCATCTCCTTTAATGTGGTTCATGACCCTTTGCTGAAACAAACGCTTGAAAAGATTGGCAGATTTGGAGCCGGGTTTAAAGCTCCAACATATCATGAAGTCAGAGAAACGTTCCTACGAAAAGAGGTAGAAAAAACAGATCTTGTGGTCAGCGAGTACAAGAAAGTCTGGGAATTAGATGGTTGCACCATAATGTCAGACGGATGGCAAGATAAAAGGTATCGAACTTTAGTGAACTTGTGCGTGAATTCTAGCCAGGGGACAGTGTTTATGAAAGCCGTAGATGCTTCATCTTACAAGAAGACCGGGGAAGCACTTTTCAAGCTGTTTGATGAGTGGATTAAATAAATTGGTCCTCAAAGTGTCATACAAGTTGTGACCGACAACGCTAAAAACTATGGATTAACGAAGAGGAAAATTGAACAAAGATATCCACATATCTTCACAACGGGATATGCAACTCACTGTCTTGACCTTATTCTAGAAGACTTTTTAAAGAAGATGTCGATAGTTAGAAGAACTATGAAGACAACGCAGGGGATTAATACCTACATCTACAGCCATACCCTTGTTCACAACTTAATGAAAGAGTTTACCAAGGGGAGAGAGCTAGTTAGACCTGCTACCACCCGATTTGCCACTAATTTTTTAACTCTTCAAAGTCTTCTCACGCAAAAACAAGCATTAAGACAAATGTTTGCTTCACCAAAATGGTTTCAAAGCGAGTTTGCAAAAACCACGGAAGGTGAATCTTGTTTTGATTCAGTTTATCGTCAAACCAATTGGTGAAGTGTTGCTTAGGTTATGAAGATCTCTTTACCCGTTGTGAAGGTATTAAGAATTACGGATGAGGATTTGCCTCCAATGGGCTTTATATATGAAGCTATGGAGAGAGCGAAATTGGGAATAAAGAACACATTTGGAGGCAAAGTAGAGAAATACATGCCTCTTTGGAAGATAATTGACAAGCGTTGGAATAAGAACCTTCATTCTCCATTACATGCAGCGAGGTACTATCTCAATCCTCAATTCTTCTACCCTAACTCACGGTGAATCCTTGGAGATGAAGAAATATGTGATGGTTTTGTAAAGTGTGTGGAGAAGATGTTGCCCACCAACATTGGAGAGAGTGTAGAGTTCTCAATTGAGATATCAAACTACACAAATGCTAGAGGAAGTTTCCGAACTAAAATGGCAATGAACAATAGGGACAAACAATCACCTGGTATGCAATCTCTATTCTTATTTTAATTACTTATTTTTGGTTATCTGAATGCTACTGTAATGCTTTGTATAAAGTCTGTAAATTATACTAAAACCTACTGTAATGCTATTATAAAAACCTATTGTAAATCTGTAATGCTTTGTATAAACTAACCTACTGTAATGCTAATATAAAAACTATACAAACTGTAATTGAGATGACTTTCTGGAGCTTGGGGTTTTAAAAGACACTTGCCTACTTTGCTATACCTACTGTAATTGCTAATATAAAAACCTACTGTAATTGACTTTTCAAAATTTTAAGTATTGTTAATTTATTAGTGATTTAGTTCTGAAACTTTTTAGTATGTTTAGTTCTGAAATTTCAAAACTTTAAATGCGAGTATTGTTTTATAGATTATTGATTAGCACTTGGTTGAAATTTGAGAATATAGTGGACTGGTGGCTTGGAAACGGCCCCTCGTCTCCCACTTTGCAACATCTTGCTGTTCGGATCCTTAGTTTAACTTGAAGTGCTTCTGGATGTGAACGAAACTGGAGTGCTTTTGAAAATGTAAGTTCGTGAAACTGTCTATCATATTTAGTTTACGTTATCAATACTTCATTTTTTATCTACTTGTTTTAGGTTCAAACCAAGAAAAGGACAAGATTGCTGCCAAAAAAATGAATGATTTGGTATACATTCGGCAGAATCAACGTCTTCAAGATCAAGATTTCAAAAAATTGAACGTATGTTTGGATGACATTGACGATTGCAATGAATGGATTGATGTAGCTGCAGAGCAAAATGAAATGGAAGACTGGGATGTAATGGAAGAAGTTGTTGGTGTTAATGAAGCAAATCACAATACAAGAGCAACAACATCAAGGGCATCAACACTTCAGTTGCACGATGAAGAGGAGGCGGAGGCGATGGAGGAGGCGGAGGCGATGGAGGAGGCGGAGGAAATGGAGGAAACGGAAGAGGTTGCAGATCCCTCTGATGATGAAATGAATGAGGATGGTGTGCCATTGCTAACAGATTCAGACCGGGATGATGAGGAGTGCGATGATTGATGAAGATTATGCCATAATCATCAAACAAAAACAGGCTAACAAGCCTAAATCCTAACATATTTTGCAAGACATGAAAGTTTTTTGAATAATATATATTTTGGAAGTAGTTTAAGCCTAAATCCTAACATATTAATGGTTGGGTTGATGAATTATAGTGTCTATCATTCATTTTGAAGTTTTTTTTTGTCACGTGGCGACGCCATATTTGCGCCATCGCCATCGCCATGTGAAATGGCTTGTGCGCCATGGATTGCGCCAGCACCATGACAACTATGTGTATGATTACGGTGTACAATGTATGATTATATCGTTGGGTTTATTTATGCAATTAACGTTGAGTTATAAACCGTGCACTTAAGGGTTAGACATATTCTAATTGTGGATAGAAATATATCTCAATTGAATATGGTTGTTTTTATAATGTCCTTATCTTCAATGAGGTTAAGTTTAGATGAATGTGAACCGTGTTTGGATTCACACGTGGAATTAATCACAATCTCACTACCGTAACAGAAGTTAGAATACTTTAATGACATTCCACTCATAATTTTTGGTAAAAGAAAAGTGTCCAACTATCCGAGCCAAAAATACAGCCCAAAAAACGAAATCCCAAATACATCGTCACCAACCATGAGACAGCAAGACGCACACGCAGGGCGCTAATAGGCAGTCGACTCGGCCGCTCCGTCAGTTCGTAAATTTCATTTCCTTCATCTAGGTAACCATGTCTCTACCTTTACCCTTCATTTATGTAATTTCAATTCCATTTTAGGTTTTTAGGCTTTGGCTTCTTGATATTCAGTTCTTGAAGTTGGGGGCTTTGGTTTTGTTGAAATACCGAACAAGCTAAGCTCTCCCCTGAAGTTTTTTCTAACTGCCTGTTTGGTATGAATGAATTAATGAATATTCAATACGGATTTCGGATTCCAGCATTCCAATTTCATGAAAGTAGACAGTGTAAATACTTAACCCATTTGGTCTTTTAATTATAAAGTATTTCTCAATTTTTTGTAGACCCAATTTGGTTCTTCACTTATATGTGATTTTGTCTCAATTTTTCGTAGACCCAATTTTTTGTAGACTCAATTTTTGCTAGACCCGATTGGGTTCTGGTCTTCACCCAATTGCCGATAAGTTTGTGAATCGTTTAGTGTTATTGTATTTTTATATTCAATTTAGGTGTGTAAGTGTGTTAGTTGTGAGCATTCTTAGGTTCTAATGTGTTATTCTACATTTATATTCAATTTGATTCATTTGACTATTTGTGATTTGTGATTCGTAGGTTCTAATGTGATTTGTTATTATTAATGTAAATACATAATTATTTAGTTAGGACGTGTTTACTTCGCTGCTAAAGTCACAATTAGTTTAGTAAGACAATCGAAGTAAACACACAGTCTGCTTAAAAAGTTGTTTACTCACCGAAACAAGTGCTTAAAGTGCCGCTAACTAAGCATACCACCCACATGTATTAATTAAGCGGCACTGTAAGTTTTTTCAGTTTCCGAATGTACCCTTACCCCTTACTGTTACCCCTACCCCCTAACCCTATCTCTACCCACCCGCCCTAACCCTACCCTACCTTATCGAAACCCCACCATGCCCCACCCCTACCCCTTTACCCCCTAACCTTACCCTAAACACGTAGGTGGAGGGTGGGGTACAGGGTGTATGGTCGTGGTAGGGGTGGATAGGTGTAGGGTGTAGGGTTGGAATTGGGGGTAGGGGTAGGATTGGAGTTAGGGGAATGGGTACGAGTACGGGGTTGTAGGGGATAGGCCCCCACATATTATCTAATAAGAGCCAACTGTGGTTAGCATAGTCTTTTTACCGTCAATTTCCGTCCATTTCCGTCTCTACTATTTGTCGATCATATCCCTCCGTCCAATTCCGTCTCTCTAATATCGCTTCTGTCCAATTAGGTTCCTCTAATATGTTGTTCATTTGGTCTACAATTTAAATAGAGTCTTACGGTTACTATGCCTCTATTCTGTACAGTTGCTCACAGTTTGTATACACAAGGGGCGAAGACATTGCCGTGTGCATCTCTTATGCTTTCTGATGGAGTAATGGGACTAGGCCCAGAGCCTAATCAACCCAAGCCCCGAACTTGGATCCATGGATCCAAGTCCATAACCTGAAGCCTGCCTGCCAGCCCGGCGGGGAGCCTGTCAGTCCGGCCGACCTCCTAGCCCGGAAAAGTAACGGTCGAACAATTAATGCGCTATTAATTATGTATTTAATTCCGTATTAATGTTGTAATTAATTAGTCATTATTATTGGTAACGGTTACGATTTGTATACGCCTATAAAAGGCGGGTTGTAATTCAGATTAGGGGAGACAACTTCTATATGCTATTTCTGGCTAACTTTCCATATTCGTACTTTCCTAATTCTTGCTTGAGTGTCGTACGTAGCTTTCCTAAAAGCCTACGAGCGTCCTATTTTGGACCAACATTGGTGCTTTCATTGAGAGCATCTATTGATCTCTCACATCACTTTAGTAGGAAAAAATTCAAGAAATTCATCCCAATCCAAGGTGCTACAGTTCCACTTCCTCCTGTTATCTTCGCCAATCACAGCTGGATGTCGTGCGCCGACGTCGTTGCTGGTCTCCCTCATCGCCACGCCTATTCATGAGATAGGCCTTCAAATGTGCGCCCACCTAATTCTTATGGAGCAAGAGCCTGCTCTGCGTTAAAGTGGATGGACCAAGATTACACTAAGACCAAATTTGATTCTCCTCAAGGATGATGGGCTGAATTTTCAGCAACGCATTCGGGCCCGTTTGGCTCTAAAGCTAAGTTTCCAAAAATCCTATATATTTGATACAAAAAAAATCATAAATTCAAACATTTGAAAAGATATTTTAAGTGGTTTAATTACTTTTACTCTTGTTAAGCGTGTGCAATTTTAACATTGAAAAATGGGCTAATGAAATCCGATCACTCACGTACACCGAGCGAGCACACACACTCGTACACTGGCCGAGCACACACACTCGCGCCACCGGGTCACGTCATATGGGTGTGGCGATTAATAAGCTCCGATATAAATGTTAATACTGCACACTCTTGACTTCATACGAGTTCTTGCGTGCTCTTACCCTTTCCAAGTGCATCACACTCCGACCTCGGGGGATGAGTCACCCGTTCAAAAGTTTTTACTTGCGGGTTTGAACTACTAACCTCGGGCGGCGAGTTAAACTCTTATTAGGGGCCTAGAGCGCTCTTCCGAGCAATTTTGTCACTTAATTGACATTCACATTTTTGAAAAGGTTGATATACTTTAGTTCTTTGGGGTTGGATTATCCATTCGAGTGAGGAGTCCGACTCACTTACTCGCGGAATCAATCTTTCTTTCGGAGACTGGGTTGAGGCCTAACTTGGGAACTTGATGTCATTCTTTTCAAGTAGTGAGTCCGACTCACTTACACACCGAGTTGTGGTTCGACACCAGGCCAGATGCTCTATTCTACACTAGTTTCTTTTATGTGTAGGTATAACTAAATGAAGTGGGGGACTGAGGGTCTTACTGTCTTCAAGGAAGCAAATGACAAACCTGACGAGTCTGAGTCCGACGAGAAGAACAGTTCTAGCCATCCTATTCGCAGATGGCGATCATTGCAATAAAGGCTGAGGATCTCACCTCTTGCTTCATCTTGGGGGCGTCAGATGTACTCTTTTTCCCTTCATTAGGATTTTTTCCCATTGGGTTTTTTCCTAATAAAGGTTTTTAATGAGGCATCTCCCCAACATGGATAAGGGCGGGGATTTTCTTGTCTCGGAGAAGAGCAACTGACTTGGATTACTCCCTCTTAGCCGAGTCTACTACTCGACTAAGGGAGTGGGGGACTCGTGATGGAGTAATGGGACTAGGCCCAGAGCCTAATCAACCCAAGCCCCGAACTTGGATCCATGGATCCAAGTCCATAACCTGAAGCCTGCCTGCCAGCCCGGCGGGGAGCCTGCCAGTCCGGCCGACCTCCTAGCCCGGAAAAGTAACGGTCGAACAATTAATGCGCTATTAATTATGTATTTAATTCCGTATTAATGTTGTAATTAATTAGTCATTATTATCGGTAACGGTTACGATTTGTATACGCCTATAAAAGGCGGGTTGTAATTCAGATTAGGGGAGACAACTTCTATATGCTATTTCTGGCTAACTTTCCATATTCGTACTTTCCTAATTCTTGCTTGAGTGTCGTACGTAGCTTTCCTAAAAGCCTACGAGCGTCCTATTTTGGACCAACACTTTCACTTTGCCACCTTTTAGAACTTCCAAGGTACTCATTTCAAATCTATTGAAGTCTCCATCGTCTTCCAATGGAAACACTTTTCTGAAATTATCAATTCGTGTGGTTGTATTGCAAGCTTTATGTGTACAATTTTGCTAAACATCTGCACCCCTTTCTCAACCCACCTTCTTAACACCTTTAATGTGATTTATGCTCAAGCATTCCATGGCTGTCTACTACATGTTCGACAAAATGTCTTAACTAGTTCACTGCCCTAATTTTTAATTGATGTTAACTTTACATGAATTCAAAAAAGAAAGAGTTAATCTTTAAACCAGTGTAAAGGGCTGCGCTGTGTAACAAGAAAGCCTGTTTAAACTTCTTGAGAAAACGCTTAGGTGTTTTTAGAGCTTAAAGAACGGAGAAAATTGAAACATATTTAAAGGCATCCAAGTTAGTATTTCAGGAAAATGACGTGTTTTGTTTGTTTTCTGGCAAGTTTTGTATTAAAGGTATGTTAATATTTCGAATGGAATGAAATATTTTTATACACTAGATGCAATTTAAAATACCGCTCTTGTAATCAGTGTGTGAAAATTTTAACCAGGAACATCTTTGGTCAGGTTATACCAAGCCTTTATCCACCCTCCAACATTTACAATTTAGCTTTACATATAAAGTGACCTCTAACTTGTACTGACTTAGCATATCTCAATATGACTTAGCATACCAAAACATGTACTGACTTTCTCTTGTCAGTTCGTAAATTTCATTTCCTTCATCCAGGTAACCAGGTCTCTACCTTTACCCTTCATTTCTGTAATTTCAATTCCATTTTAGGTTTTTAGGCTTTGGCTTCTTGATATTCAGTTCTTGTCCATTTTTATTTTATAATTTGAAACTTATGAAATATTTTATAATTCACGCAAGACCCAATTGTCTCAACTTGTATCTTCTAACAATTAGTAGTAGCTATATGCCTTTTGAAATATTGTTATGTATTTTTCATACTTTTATTACAATTTGAGTATTTTAAGTTCTCATGTATTTCTAGCGCCACCCCCAAATATTGTTTTAGTTCTGCTCCTGCTAAAGGTCGGTTTACTAGAATCAATATTACCAAATTATTGTGGTACTGAAAGAGTATTTGATCTAAGAAACTCATACCTTCGTGTATTGAATTGATTCGTGTTAACCTCCAGGAATTTCATCGAGCATGCGCTGAGCATGTGGAAAAGAGGGCTTGACCCTCACTTGCTGTTTGCTGTCAGACATTACTCCAAGCAAAGATGTGACATTTCGCTTAAGGAGCGTGTCATCCGAGTTTCGAACAATGTTGCCCGTTTGGGCAGCCCCAAAGAAGGGTCGAAGCCACCACAGTTAATGTCTTTGCCTCCATTTTATGGTCTCCATCTGTCCAGAAAAAAGTGTGCTACCAGTCCCGGTCAGCCTTCTTGCCGAGTTACTGCCATTAGCTGGCTCAAATATTACTTTGACGAAATACCTAGTCCTGTTATTCAATTCCATTTTAATAAGGGTCTGGTAAGTGGTGCTGTTTAAGTTCTTTATCAATTCAAAATAAAGTTAATCTGCTGATTCAGAAACTGGGTTTATTGCCTTCTAGGCTTTTGGAGCCAAGAATAAAGAATTAACGATATAAAAAATGAACTTAAAAGAATATAGAAACTTTTACATAGACAAATGGTGTGGATATAGATAATAGATATACTACTCTAGTCACCACCCACAAGTTTAAGGCATGTTTGAATTACAGAAAATTCTAAGAAAAGGAGAAAACAATACTACCTCCGTCCCATATTGGTTGTCTTATTTTAGTTTGGCACAATTATTAATAAAGTGACTGAAAAGGTGAAAGTTGTGGTTGAGACTTGAGTAGAATAAAGTGAAATGATATGTACCACATATTTCTTGCCAAAGAAGAAAACATGACATTCATTTTGGGACAACCGAAAAGAAAGTAAGACAACCAAAATGGAACAGAGGCAATACGTAGAAAGTTGCTTTAATTAGTTTGATTTTACCTAAAAACTACCAAGGTAAATGAAATATATTCCTCTTGTTTTCTATATATTTTTGCAGATATATTAAGACTACATTTGGTATCATTAATCGGCTTACTTTTCTTGTGGGTAGAGTAATTAGAGTAATCAAACTAGCTGATATGACTGAATTTGTTTTGAAATGAAAATCGTTCGGCATAATTGATTTCAGTCAACTACGCAAATCAAAAAGACAAAAACTGCTTATTGCCTAATTATGTTGTCATTAAAACAAACCACTCAAGACACATTTACTTCATAGGTTACTAAGCGGTGCTTATTAAGACTTGCATTTACTTCGTAGGCCGGTACCCATACCCAACCCCCTTACCACGGACTCGTACCCCCTACCCCGCACCGTGTCCCTCTTCCCCTACCCTACCCTACCCTACCCCGATCCCCTATTCGTACGCGTACCCTTACTCCCACCCTACACCTACCACTACCCCACACCCACACCCCGTACCCGTACCCCTTACCCCACCTTCCCCAATCCTACCCTTAACCCTTCCGTACGCCTAACCACCACCCTACCCCTGCCCCCTACTACTCCACCCCACCCGTCCTCGTATTACCCCCACCCTACACCTCCCACAATCCTTATCCCCATCCCCGTGCCAGGGTACGAGACAGTAGAGGGGGATGGATTGGGGTATGGAAGTAAGGTTAGGGGCAAGGGGTATTGGCGGGGATAGGGGGTTAGGGGTACGAGGACATGTAGGGGCTGGGTAGGGGGTAGGGGTATAGGCACGGGCTCGGTAAGCGTAGGGACGGAGTGGTCGGGGTAGGGGTAGATTAGGGTAATCGTGATCGGCTAAAACTTGCAAGTGTACAAGTGCCAATGTAGTAATAAAAGCGGTAAAAATACCGGGTCGAACACAAGGAAACGCGGTTTATATGATTCAAATTCGAATAGAGTTTTAGTAAAAGACTTAGCAAAAGAGTAGAGATTTTTAGTTTTCAAGAGATAATAAAAGCAACCAAGGGTTCTGGATTACTCCTAAACGACTCTTAGTGATGAATATATGTTCTTTTACCAAAAATTATGAGTGGAATGTCACTAAAGTATTCTAACTCCTGTTACGGTAGCGAGATTGTGATTAATTCTACGTGTGAATCCAAACACGGTTCACATTCATCTAAACTTAACCCCATTGAAGATAAGGACATTATAAAAACCACCATATTCAATTGAGATATATTTCTATCCACAATTAGAATATGTCTAACCCTTAAGTGCACGGTTTATAACTCAACGTTAATTGCATAAATAAACCCAACGATATAATCATACATTGTACACCGTAATCATACACATAGTTGTCATGGTGCTGGCGCAATCCATGGCGCACAAGCCATTTCACATGGCGATGGCGCAAATATGGCGTCGCCACGTGACAAAAAAAACTTCAAAATGAATGATAGACACTATAATTCATCAACCCAACCATTAATATGTTAGGATTTGGCCTTAAACTACTTCCAAAAAACATATTATTCAAAAAACTTTCATGTCTTGCAAAATATGTTAGGATTTAGGCTTGTTAGCCTGTTTTTGTTTGATGATTATGGCATAATCATCATCAATCATCGCACTCCTCATCATCCCGGTCTGAATCTGTTAGCAATGGCACACCATCCTCATTCATTTCATCATCAGAGGGATCTGCAACCTCTTCCGTTTCCTCCATTTCCTCCGCCTCCTCCATCGCCTCCGCCTCCTCCCAGACTGTCCCCTGGCTAGAATTCACGCACAAGTTCACTAAAGTTCGATGCCTTTTATCTTGCCATCCGTCTGATATTATGGTGCAACCATCTAATTCCCAGACTTTCTTGTGCTCGCTGACCACAAGATCTGTTTTTTCTACCTCTTTTCGTAGGAACGTTTCTCTGACTTCATGATATGTTGGAGCTTTAAACCCGGCTCCAAATCTGCCAATCTTTTCAAGCGTTTGTTTCAGCAAAGGGTCATGAACCACATTAAAGGAGATGCAGTTCCTGTACATCCACAGACAGAGGCTTTGAGCATGTTCATCCCTCTCTTTTTTCTTCATGTGTGATGGGATTGTTGTTTGTGTCAATGCCTCTTTCCGTTTTTCTGTTGGATAAACGAACCTATCCATCGGCCGATTTGCACTTGATCCACCGGGCTGCCCTGCTGCACATGTACTCTTAAAAGTGCGTTCAATCACATTTTTGTCTGACTTAGTAGCGGCAGATTCTTTCAACACCAATGCTTGCAGTTCAGCCTTCTTATCAGCAGGAAAGAGTGCACACTCTTTTGCGTTGCGGTGGCTCCCGGCCAAATGTTGCTTAAACCTAGTAATTCCACCTTTAGTAACCTGCTCACAGTCATTGCATCGCAGGTAGTTGTTGTTTTATTCATTCACTTTCTCACAATGCTCCTTAGCAAAGGCAGTAGACATCTTCTGCAAAACTGCAAGTCGAAAAGTAAAAACTTCATTGATGTATCAAATTGAAGTAGTAAGTACTTAAACTGTAAATTAAAAGTAAAAACTTCAGTTAATTTAAAGAGGTTAAAGAGGGTTCAGTTAGCTGAAGTTAGTTAAAACTTCTTTTTAAGTAAAAACTACAAATGCTGAAGTTAGTTAAAACTTCAAATGATGAAGTTAGCTGAAGACTGAAGTTAGTTAAAACTTCATACAGATACAGTTAGCTGAAGTTACTTAAAACTTCATTTTAACATAAACATAAACTATAAAGTAAAAAGTAAAAACTATAAATTAATTTATAACTGTATGTTTGTATAAAGTAGTTCATTTTAACACAAACTGAAGTATTAAATGAACTGAAGTTTTTTAACAGTTGCTTTCATTATATGAAAGTATCATATACTCTTTTGTATAAAGAATAAACTATTGTAAAAAACAATTGTATAAAGTATAAACTGAAGCATTAAAGAGGGTAGTCATACCTTTTGTAGTTGGAAGAAGTCAATGAGTTCCCAGGCTGGCAGGTTGTGCGACTTGTGTCTGGTTTCATCTTTTGGTGCTCAAGTGTTTGTCGCAGAGTGACAACTTTAACTTCTACTGTCTGCAACTTTTTATGCTTTTATTTTTGTTAGGGTTGTTAATAATTGGCTTTGTGTGTTCATAATGGGCTAAAATATTAAGTTTTATTTAGAGTTTTATTAAGTTAAGTTCACCAGGCCCAACAGCCCCAAAATCCCAGACCAAATGTCCGCTGATATTTTAAAAGAGCCTGTGCATCGCCATGGCGATGGCGACACAACGGCAACGCCATGTGTATACCCAGTGCCACGGTCCATTTTATGGCGCAAAGGCCTTTTGCGCGCCTCATGGCGCATGGCACAAGCGCCATTGCGCGCCATCGACAACTAGACATAGAATAGACTGTAAAATATCCTTCATCTCCTTCCTGAACCTTTTCCTAGCCGGTTATTCACAGTACTCATGTCGTTGGCCTGTTGGAGGTCCAACTGCTTGAAGGGGAAGTCATGCCCTGGTGTAAATGGTTTCTTACACCTAAAGCATAATCCTTTCGCCCTCAATTCTGCAAACTCCTTTGGCGGAAGTTGAGTGAATTGAGAGCGTGTCGTAGGTTGCCCGGACAGCTCTGACTTTGTCTCCGGGGGTTGTGCACTATCTTTTAGAAAGCTGTCACTCGATGCCTGTATGCTGCCTATGCTGCCACTACTGGCAGTCAACCGAGGACCCGAGTTTGACATTAAAAAGTTGCTAGAATGTACCCCTGAAGGATAATAATTCGGGCTGCCACTTCCTCCACTTTGGACGGACAGATTGTGCTCCACATCGCGAGCTAATTCCATGGCTTCTTCCAAGTTACCCGGTCGAAACAAGCGTAGTGAGCTTCAGATTGATTCTTTTAGCCCGTTCATGTAGTATCCCAAATAATGATCATCGGACAATCCTGGAACTTGGCTGACTAATTGAACCAATAGGGCATTGTAGTCCTCCACTGATCCAATCTGTCCACTGATCCAATCCGTTTGGCGCTGGCCAGCCGTTCAAACTGATTCCCCTGAAATTGGGAATCGAATCTGGCCACCAGAGCTTGCTTGAAATCTGCCCAGGTCATGCCGGGTTTGCGCGCTCTCAGCCAGGTTACCCAATACAGGGCAGCCCCTTCCATGGCAACTACAACCGCTGCCGCTGCCATTTTCCTGTCCGGTAAGGTTCCGTTGAGTTCAAACTGATGTTCAACACGCGCTGTCCACCCAATCGGGTCTTCTCCGTCAAACGCGGGCAGCCGGGTTGGTGCTGTGTTGCGCAGCAGTTCGTCGGCGCTGGGTGCGGTCACAACAACACTTCCGACCGCAGCCGAGGATGTTTCCAGCGAGACCGGCGGCACCACGGCTTGGGTTAATGCTGTCTGAGATGCAGCGATCTCAGCCAGCCGCAAGCCGTGTTCCTCCAGGGTTTGATTCATCCGAGCTTGTTCGGCCTCCAACTGTGTCAAGCGATTGTTCTGAGATCTCGTCATCTTGGCAGGATGGATTTGGCAGGTTGGACCAATTGTTGAGAGCAGAAAATAAAATCAATGGGACAAACCGTTGCCAGATAATCAACGATAAAAATACCGTTGCCCAGAGCCAAAAGGCTAAAAACCAACTTTATTCCCAGATAAGCAAGAATGACCCCTGACAAGGGGTATAAATAGCCTTCTAAGAGAAACCCTAATCAAGCCCAAATTAATTAAATCCTAATTAAGTCCATACTAACTCTACTAAGTACTCTACTAATAATTGGCCCAAAATTAAACCCTAACATAAACTTTATAATAATAAATAAAACTATAATGACAGCCCATAACTGGCGCACGGAAGTGGGCCCAAGCCCGTTCCCGCCTCACGCTCTTCCTGCTCTCTATCACCGGTTAACCGGAAGTTAACTGGTTATATTATAAATTTGATCAGTTTTGTATAGTTCGTAGACTTAATTGAGTGTTTATATATTTGGAGGGCTTAATTTACTTTTTGGGTATACTTCGAGGGCCAATTTGACAGTGTTTCCATAAATAAAATAAGTAAAACCAATTATACTCTATGTTTTCTGTAACGAGTGCACCTGTCAAGGAGCCCCATATTGTAACATTTTCCTTCGATTTTTCCTCTATATTTCGCTTCTAATATTTTCCAGAGTATAAATGGACCCGAAGCTTTGTTCAGTTCACTGAAAAATCAAGGGAAAAGGGAAGAGAGTGCCAAGAAAAGTTATTACCTTGTTACTGGTTTTACACTTGAAAGGCAAACAAAAATGATTAGTTTTAATTTTATCTATATATATATATATATATTTATATATATATATAGATTTGGAAGTCTGCATATTGTAAAAAGGGCAGCCCAATGCATATTGGCTTCGCTGCAAGGCTAGGGTTCAGGGAAGGGTCCCCCATATAGCGAACACGCCTTCCATTGTCGTTATGACAAGAAACTGCTCTCAATACTTGAATCTCTAAGTTTCTTAACCTCTTTGTCACACAACAACACTTGAGTCTTTATGTGGTAGACATAAACTTAAAAATGTGTACTACAAGTCTAACACAAAGTTTTTCCTCCAATATTACTAAAATAATGTTCATCGGAAAAAATGTGACAGCTCTTAATTTTTTTCAAAAAAAGAGATTAAATTGTGTCACTATTAATATGACCCTGGCTGCTACCGCCAGACGCCACTGACACCAAAAGGAGAATTAAGATTTGAGACAACTTAGTCAGTTGGTCCTGTTTTGACATTTTTTTTTGGAAATTTAAAAGTGGTAAGGTTTTCCTTTATTCTGAATCTATGGCCTCACAGGTGCAGATTGAATGCAGTGATATAAATGATTCACCTAGCACTGTCAGTTCCAAAATTTCCTTGAGAAAGGTATTGCTAGTAATTCAGTTGAAAAAACGTATAGATACTCTCCATTCATTCGTAGTCTTATTACTGTCTCACTTGCTTTTGTGACATTTAAATCTCGTTTGGGACCTACAATTTCAGCCAATATTTTGAATTCCAGTTGTTTGTGAAATTTGAATCATGTTTAAGAATTTCTTCTTTTTTGGAACAACTATTTTCATAAGTTCTCTGCTGCTTTTGAGATGTTTGTAATTTGTAGTTTATGAATATTTTTCAGCAGCTTTTGGTTTTCAGCTGTTCTCATAATATTAATTATTTTTTAACCACTTTTCAATAATTATTACACAAAAAACTGATTCTGATTATATCTATTATACGCCTAATCAATTATTCAAATAATCTATTTCTTCAGCTATCCAAATTCCAAAACACTCTTATTTCACAGATTAGGCATCATGAGATCATGGAAATGGGTGCAAGAGTTTATGTACCTGTATCTATTGTAGAATCCAAAATTTCCAAGAGGTTTGATATAATACCAAGTGGCACCTTGTACCCTAATGCTGATGAGATAGCTTACTTGCAACGGCTTGTAACTTACAAGGTACATTTCACAAGTTAACGTTTGGTGACAAATGATTGGCTATCAAATAGGTCTATCGATACTTTTTTTCCTGATGTTTTGCACAATAGTTCATGTGGCCTTTAGCTTTTAATTAATGTTTAGTTGTAAACAAATTCAGGACTCTGCATTAATTGTGCTAAATAAGCCCCCTAAACTTCCAGTAAAGGTTAGCATCTTATTTTTTAAAAAGAAAAGTCTTTGTCTGATATCTGCTGTCATTCAAAGAAGTCCTATGAGGTATGCATTTCTAACAATATAGTGTTATTTTGTGCGTTTTAGGGAAGCCTTCCTATCCACAATAGCATGGATGCTTTGGCAGCTGCTGCACTTTCTTATGATTATGATGTGGGCCCTAGACTGGTAAGAGATGCTTCTTAATTTCAGTATTGCGAGAATCTCTTATTATTATTTCAGCTTAAAACTCTTATTATTTCCTTAAGGATCAGCCTCTTGCAAAAATGTAAGGTGAGTTTTGCCTACATCACACCCTTGTGGCGGGACCCTTCCTCGGACACTTGCTCAGCGGGGATGCTTTGTGCTCCGGGCTACCCTTTACTGAGTTGGTTTAGTCACTCTAAGAATATGCGGCGTCTTAGCCTATTTTGCACGCTTCTGAGAAATCTTTGGATGATTTCTAATTCATCTAGCAAAACCATATAAAGGAGTGACATTTATTTAATTATTATTTTCAACTTCACCAACATCGTTGAGTATTATGGCCACATGGTCACACCCAAAAATTTATTGTTCACTCTTGAAAATGAAAGATAAACTGTTGTTTATGATTCAGAATTGATGGCACTGCTTAAAATATTACTGGAAGAGCCTCTTTCTTGAATTACAGGAAAATATATAAGGAAAATTATATGTCCAATAAAATTAGTGACCCCGTCTAACAGGAAGATCTGCAACATCTCTTGATTTTTTCTACATTAACTCTTACTGGTTTATTCAGGTTTTGTGATGATATATGACTGCTTTTGTGCAGGTGCATCATCTTGATAGGGAGAGCAGTGGCCTTCTTTTAATGGGAAGAACAGAAGAAAGCATCTCACTTCTTCATTTGTTTCTCAGTGACTCAGCAAAGAAGAAATTTCAGTCAAAGGTTCTAAAGTTTTCAACTCATGAATTGATAAAGGATTAGTATCAATCTCCTTTATTGAAGCAGGCTCTAAGGTACAACGAACCGAACATAAGGTACAGCGTACTGAGCGTGTACTGAAATGAACATATCCCCCTTCGAACCAGTTACACTAGACCTACCGAACCGTGTTCCTGATTCTTGTTCCCGTACCGAAGTGTTCCACGAACTATGTGACTCTGACTTTCCTTATTTCACCTGTTTTTTCCTTCAAAATTAAGTGCTTTTTATTTTCTTCAGGCGTTGCATGATTCTTGTAAGGCAACATATCGAAGATATTGGGCATTGGTAATAGGTTCCCCCAAAGAAAAGGAAGGCTTAATTTGTGCGCCTCTTTTAAAGGTTCTGTTTCTCTATCCCTATTGCCCTAGATTATGCTTAGATCACAGAAAAGGGAAGGCCTAGGGAAACGAAAGTTACTTTCCTAACTTTACTTTTACCTTAGAAAGTTCAAAATGAAATGGAATATTACTAATTATAAAAGATTTTTGGTTTTACATATATTTATATTTTGCTTGGAAAAAGTTCCGTCAATAAAAGCAACACCACTTGGATTACGAAGAGCTAGTATCTATATAATGCACATGAAAAAAAGAGTATCACTAAGTAACTATTTATTGTTTGTTTTTAGCTCATATTCGCCCCACTTTTTCTCTTTCCCTAGAGTTCTCTGAAATCCAAACAGACACCTACTGTTTGGATATACTTGGTGAAGAAAAATGAAGACCCTGATGGCTCCCTGTCCTTCTCCCGCAGGTGTCTCTTGACAACGGGAAAACTGAAAGGGTTATCTTGGCTCACAACTCGAGCTTAGAATCTTCCCAGGAGGCTATTACAGAATACCGTGTCATGGGTCCAATGATCAACGGATGTTCGTGGATAGAATTGCGTCCACATACAAGCAGAAAACATCAGGTGAAATGAATTTATTACTCAATTTCGTTTTTGCGATTCAGTAGTACGTTTAGTGCAGTTCAGAACATGTAATTTTTAATTAGCAATTCTTATTTATCAGGAAAACTGACTTTATTGGGACGGGTTTCATTTTTACATAGGGAGTAATAAAGTGACTTGGATGCCCTACCATATTTACTTTGCGTTTGTTTCTTTCATTCAATACCTTTTATGTTCAAAACCACAACTTTCCGTAATGCACAGTTATTTATTTAAGAATACAGAGGGAGTATCTTTTTACAGAGATCGATATTCTTCATGAATCAGACCATCTTGAAGTGATCCTTGATAAATAGTAATCCTGTATTCCTGTTATTTTGCACAGCTACGTGTGCACTGTGCAGAAGGACTGGGTTGTCCCATCGTGGGTGATTACAAGTACGGCTGGTTTGTACATAAAAAGTGGAAGCAGATGCCGAGAGTTGACGTGGAGCCCACAACCGGGAAACCGTACAGAATGAGGAGACCAGAAGGGTTGGATGTGCAGAAAGGAAGTGTGCTGTCTAAGGTTCCGTTGTTGCATTTGCATTGCCGGGAGCTCCTGCTTCCCAACATTGCCAAGCTTCTAGAGCTTCATCATGGTAAAACGTTAAAAAGCTTTACTAATGTCAACGGTAGCAATGACACAGTTTCAAAACCTGATCTCCTTCGCTTTGTAGCTCCAATGCCATCTCATATGAAAATTAGTTGGAATCTCATGTCGTCTTACTTGATTTGAAAACAATAAAAACTGAACGATAATCATTAACCTATATATGTGAACCATCTGAAGTTTTTTACTCTTCAAATTGCTTCATTTTTACTCGAGACATTAATTTTCTAATTGACACCAAAAGCTGCAAAGATGTTATCAATTCAACCTTCATGATTTTGGCTGTTTGGCATATTGGACAATTTGGACTACACCGCTTTTATTTGTTATATGTTCATGCAATGTGAAATTCAAAAGTCCATTGTCATGCCTGAGTTCCTTAGTCCTAGAGGTGAACCCAGTTTTGGAACCGGACTAGAACTGAGCTGGTAATTCACCCAAATCAGGACTAGAAAATTTAGACCGGAATGAGACCTTGTCCATTGTCAAGGTTTCGGTTCTGGGGACGGGGAACAGGGATTACTTGGCCCGTCCTTAAGTGGAATCAGGCTGGGTCCACTTGTAAGACTCAATGAATGGAGGTGTAGTAGACAGTGAGATGTTCTTCTAAATAGAAAGAGGAACCTCCTGAAAATTGCTCAAGGTCAATTAGTGGAGATTACCAATGGTGTAAACCTAGGAGAGAGGTGAAGAGATGAAGGAATCACAACTATTGTGGGTATTAATAGTGAAGCATTATATGAAACCGATTAGGGGACAAGGGGAGTAATATAATACGTAGTATAATATAGTTAAAGAGATAAGTTGCACTCCCATTTATGTGACTTCTTGGTATCACATTTAATGGTAAATTACACTCTACAATTGGAGTCTCATGGTAAAAAAAAGTTGGATTCTCATGTTCAATCGTAAGGCCGGAATATTCTTTGGAATGCATTTAGTTTCACAATGAACTTTAAATATATATCGAGTGAACAGAAATATAATGTACAACCAAAGTCATCATACAATTAGCAAGCCTCAAAAGGCATAAGACAAACAAGCAAAGTCAACAATTACATAAAAAGGCTAAACAAATATTCGGGATAAAATGATAAATACTATACATCATTTCGCAAACTTTGATATTTTTAATTAAAAAATCAGCTCGTTAATTGACCCATTGAATATTTGAATCCAAAGAGTGTGAGCCCGGTAGGGATGGACTCGGGCCGGGTGGCCCGACCCGGAACCGGCCCGGGACCGGCACTGTTCCGGCCCGGCCCGACCCGGTGGCCCGGTCAGTGACCGGTCCGGGTAGGCCCGGCCCGTGGGTTTTCCGGTCCGGGCTCGGGTCACCCAAAACAAGGCCCGACCCGGCCGGGCCCGGGCCCGGTTCGGGCCAAATTTTTTTTTTTGTTTTTTCAATTTTTTTTAACTTTTCGGGTTGGGCTAGGTATTTTGGACCATTTGGGGTGGTTTGGGGGGTTGGGGGTGGGAGGGGGGTTAATTAGGAAGAGGAAAACAAAAAAAAATATATATATAATGGGCCTGGCCCGGCCCGGCCTGACCCGACCCGGCCCGGACCCGGTGGTTACCCGGGCCGGTCCCGGGTCCACCATTTCTGACCCGCCGGCCCGCCCGGGCCTAGGCCCGACCCGGACCCGGCCCGGACCCGAGTCCAACCCTAGAGCCCGGGAATGAATATTTCAATATTCTTACGGCGTTTTCATTTGTAGCATAAATAAATTTGTTTAATATCTTCTTAAGCACTTTCATTTACATACCCTAATTTGTGTGTACACTATCACCTTCTCGACCCACACTTTTCTCTCTAATGTGGAACTATTCCATTGAGTATATATTGCATTATATTGTGCATTTGGTCTCCCAACTTGTGCACACATGCCTCTAGTATTTCAAATATCTTTTTCGTTAAATACCTTTTCATTATTAATTATGTATAGTGATCTCGAGAATTGCGTGAAGTTTCACTTATTATTGCCGGAGATGCATTACTTACTTTTTTTTTAGGGAAATGCATTACTTACTTCAATACTGATGATTAGAGCATCTCCCGGCCAATGCTCTTCTTTTGAAAGAATTAAAATTTTGCCTAATATCAATCATCTAGAATTATGTATATCCATGCACATAAGTACATAACCTAGATATTGAAAGAATTAAATAAACGTTCTCCAATGCATAAACTTAAGATCTTAAAATATTTATCAATGTTAAGCGGAGCACTTGAACAGAAAGCGTTTCGGAATTTGCATGCTATTTTTGAATTGTGTGGAATTTGGCTGAGTCGTGGTGTTAATATACCTTGAAAATTCCCAAAGAGGAATTGAAAGTGTTTGCTCCATGTTAGGGTAATAGATTTATAAAAGAATCCATTGGAGACAATATTACTATCACTCTTTTAAAATCGATGATGCTGCATGATCAAAAAAAAAAATCGATGATGCTCTGCAAATTTTTACCATGTCAAAAGAAGAGAATTGGATATGCTCTTAGGCCTCATGTCCATATAAGTAGTCTATTTATATATAAGAAAATAAACAGCTCATCTAAAGACAATTTTACCCTTATTAAGTCATATATATCTTGCTCTCCTTAATTCACTCATTTGCTATAGCACTGCCATGTGGACGTTTTTACTCGAAAGTACGAAATTCTCCTATGGAATGGAAGCGAGCAGCCGTAACAGTTTCACTTGGTGGGGCCCAAGCTACAAAAACCCCAATTTTCTTTAAAGAGTTATAACTTTTTCATTTTTATTCCGATTTTTATAAAAAACATACCAAAATTCATAATTTTTTGTGATCTTTCATACGAGATCAATATTGAATATATAAAATAAAATTTATTAACAGTCTCTATAATTATGCTAAAAATTATTTATATACATTTTCTGATTTATTTTGTTGTCTGAATTGAGGAGGTTGTTGTAGCTGATCATTTTTAGCTACTTTTCCTATAATGATTTTCTTTATTTCATTAATAAAAGCATTCCAAATTAAATTTATCCATAAAACAATATATTCAACCGATTCAACCACTTCTCTCAGAATTTCATCCATTTCAACAGATTCAACTAATTTCAGTACTTCTAAACGTCTCTAAAATCAAAATCAGACCATGAAAGGAAAAAACTAAAAATACTAAATTTGTTTATGAAAACTTTCTTAAAGTATTTTATAGTTTGATATGCATTGGTTTGATTATAAAAAATCCGCAAATGAAAATCTAAGTAGTTCTAATAAAAAACTTCAAGTTGGTCTAAATTGAAGACAATGAGTAATTTGAATTCATCAACCCTACGATTAGTAAAAATCTAATGTTATTTTCATGTTTTATTCTACTCCTTTCGTTTAACTATTGCAAACCCTATCCCTTCCTATTATAATGTCACTTGAGAATCAAAAAAATTAGCGAATGAAAATGATAATCACATCGTATTCTAATAAAATAAAACTTCTAAATTTAGTTCAATTTATTACTTTATTTTTAAGAAAAGAGGGGCAAATATGAAAATATAGATCTATCATTTTTGGTTTGTTTTAAAATGCTTTGATCTATTTATGCTTAGCTTTATTGAAATTATTTTTTTGACTAATTCGACAGACGTTATTGTATAAAATCATTTTTAATCTATTTATATATAAGAAAATAAATAGCTCATCTAAAGACAATTTTACCCTTATTAAATTATATATATCTTGCTCTCCTTAATTCACTCATTTGCTATAGCACTGCCATGTGGACGTTTTTACTCAAAAGTACGAAATTCTCCTATGGAATGGAAGTGAGCAGTCGTAACAGTTTCACTTGGTGGGGCCCAAGCTACAAAAACCCCAATTTTCTTTAAAGAGTTATAACTTTTTCATTTTTATTCCGATTTTTATAAAAAACATACCAAAATTCATAATTTTTTGTGATCTTTCATAAAACAGTATATTCAACCGATTCAACCACTTCTCTCAGAATTTCATCCATTTCAACAGATTCAACTAATTTCAGTACTTCTAAACGTCTCTAAAATCAAAATCAGACCATGAAAGGAATAAACTAAAAATACTAAATTTGTTTATGAAAACTTTCTTAAAGTATTTTATAGTTTGATATGCATTGGTTTGATTATAAAAAATCCGCAAATGAAAATCTAAGTAGTTCTAATAAAAAACTTCAAGTTGGTCTAAATTGAAGACGATGAGTAATTTGAATTCATCAACCCTACAATTAGTAAAAATCTAATGTTATTTTCATGTTTTATTCTACTCCCTTCGTTTAACTATTGCAAACCCTATCCCTTCCTATTATAATGTCACTTGAGAATAAAAAAATTAGCGAATGAAAATGATAATCACATCGTATTCTAATAAAATAAAACTTCTAAATTTAGTTCAATTTATTACTTTATTTTTAAGAAAAGAGGGGCAAATATGAAAATATAGATCTATCATTTTTGGTTTGTTTTAAAATGCTTTGATCTATTTATGCTTAGCTTTATTGAAATTATTTTTTTGACTAATTCGACAAACGTTATTGTATAAAATCATTTTAAACTACTTTTCATTTTTATTTTTTATTTACTTCATTAATAAAATATAATTTAAATTAAATTCATCCATAAATAAAAATATCAATTTTAACCAATTCAACCACTTTTGTCAAATTTTCATTAATTTCTAAGGAATCGGGCGATTTAGTCAATTCAGTGTTAATAAATTGACTCTAAATATCAATATTAGAACATGAAAGTAACAATAGATCAGTGGCTAATACAAAGGGACTTTTTTAAAAGTGACTTTTTAATATTAAAAAAATGAGAATCTTAAAAAATTACATTTCATTGAAAATCAACATGTTGAAATGATATCTTTATAATAGTAATATGTAAGTGATTCAAAAATATAAATATACTTGAATTTGTTTATTATTGTGGACTTCCAATTCTGTACATGCAAACGAGATAGACTTACAAAAGAGTTTCAAATGATTCCTAATGTAGCAACTGGCTAGGATTTATTTACCTTTTTTTACTCAACCACAACCTCACGTTTTCACTCTGTTGTTGTTTCTATGGTTGTTGTTGTTAATATTATTATTATTATCGGTGAATCAAATCACCTTTAAAAGTAAAAAGAATAAAATAGACTTACGAAAGAGTTTCAGTTGATTCATGAATAATATCTTTATAATATGTAAGTGACTCAAAAATATAAATATACTTGAATTTAGTTACTATTTTGGACTTCCAACTATGTACATACAAACGAGATAGACTTATGAGCATCCTC